CCGAGAGCCCGACAGTGTCGGAAGAGAGGAGGGGACCCGGTGACATACCTCATTCCGCCGGGTGAACGTCCCCTCCTCTCTCTGCCATCGTCCACCACGAAGATGGCTGCCGGCAGGCATCAATTAGAGGACTGAGCATGCTTGATGACGTCACGGCGGGGTGTCACCCGGTCTCCGCTCTGGGTGACACCCTACCTCGGGACACCCCTGCTTCAGGTCCTAGACTGTTTAAGATATTCTCCTTAGTCTGTTCCTAAAATTCAACATTTTCTAATGAAACTTGATATAAGGCCTGGGACTGATGTTGTGGTAAAGTTAGTCTCAATTAAAGCATTATTAAATGTTAAAGTGAAAAAAGAGTAGAGTGTAGATCGATTTTGGCACACCTGATTGTGGCAGATCGGGGATAGCTTGATGTAAACATACATGTTCACTTACATCCAACTCCCCATAGTCCTAACATGGATACGGTAAGTTCAGTTTTTTTTCACAATGGTGACATCTGGTTTAAGGTGTTCTGATCAGCATGGGATCTGTGCACGGATCCCCTGCTGAACAGAACGGACAGGTGCCCTAGTGAAAGAGGCCGTCCAGTGCTAGCCTTCTCTTTGTCTTCTGGAGTACAGGAGAATATGGAAAGCTAATATAAAGATGGACTTCAGGCAGTAATAATGAAATGTTAAAAAAAATAGGATTGTTACCGAATGCTTGGCTGGACTAAAGGGTGTTTCCTTGGAGTTCTGCTTTACGGTGCTGAAAAGAAGTCATCAGAAAATGCTCTCATAACTAAACAGCTACCCCAAATCTAAATTCTTCAAATCAACATCAATGATCAGGCACCTTACAAATGCATTTATCAATTTAAAGATATTGTTAATGTTCAATGTATACAGAAAGCTCTGGTAATACTTAAAACAAAAAATGACAGACTTCAGAAAGGATTTAGTAGGGAAGGATAAAAGAGGTGTCTTAATGGAGCTGTGTGTAGGGAATGCTGATGTGCTGTAATGGGAAGACACATCTCGGTAATGGAACTGGAGTACGCTGTAATAGAGGCCACGTTGTTGCATGATAAAAAGTTACCATTTGAGGAAGTCGGTGAATAGTCAGCTCAGCTTTGATTCGCAATGGGCCCCAGACTCATGCCCTGAATGACATACACAAAGAGGAGGAAATTCTCCTGGAGTATTGTATTGTCACATATATACCGAACCGCCATAAACAGCCTGTAATAGTGAATAAATACAATCATTTACTGAGGAGCTGCCTGCCTATACTTAAAGTGGAACTCAATGACATGTCTGCATATATTTTCCGGGCATAATATGTAGAAATAAATAATAACCGCATAATTTATAACCAGCCTTTGTAGCAAGGTGCACATGGGAAGGCTTACAACAATACAAACACAAAAACGGCCCCATAATTTGGTAATGTACAATAGTCTATGATTTATCAGACGGTACAGTAGTATGAGGGTGAATAAAATATGGCTGCATTTAGGAAACTGACATTATGGGAGTGTCATAATGAAATTACATAAAGCACTTCAGCCTTCCTGCCTCACACCCCTGGGCTTTCTGATTGGGTGGGGGGCTGGCTCAGTGACACTATTACGAACCTGGTCTGGGAGACTGGATGGTTGAGGAGGCTTCCCTTGCACCTCGTGTCTAAAAGCCTTTGAGGATGGTGACAGAGGCCAGGCAGACACCGAGTGGCACGAGTGCCAGTAGTTATGAAACCGTGCAAGTAGAAGGGTAATCCAGAATTCAAAGTCGAGGCAAGCCGAGGTCAAAATCCAGGAGGTCAGTTGCAGTACCGAAGGAAGAGGCAGAAGAATAATCAAAACAGTCCAGGGTCAAAAAGGCAGGCGGCAGTCAAGGCAGGTAGTTGAGGCAGGAACGGGTCAAAATCCAGGCAACGGCAATCTAATATTCAAGACAGGAAACAGGAGACACAACACAGACAGGAGCTGATAAGACAATCCAGCAAGTAAGTGACAGGCTGGCTTGGTTTAAATAGGGAAGTGAACTAATCAATTATGTCACTTCCTGTGCGCCTTTGGCACATTTTTCTTAGAACACGCTCCATCTGCGCATCACTTCCTGTGCGCCTTTGGCACATTTTTCTTAGAACACGCTCCATCTGCGCATCACTTCCTGTGGGCCATACTGCGCGTCTTTCTGTGGGAAGTGGTCGTTGTGCGCATGCGCGTATTCTTCTGCCTAGTGGTACTTGGCGCATGCGTGGAACGGGCATGGTGCTTACAGACACCCTCTAGAAGGCCCACAAAAAGCTGCTGCACAAGGTAGCTTGAACGCTTCTTTACCATCAAAAAAAGAACATCTGCCAAGACACTTGTTTCTCGAGAGCCAATTTCAGATCTATTTTCTGCTTCATTGACTGGACTCTGCGGGAACCCAGAACTCGTGCTAAGTAATTTCATTATTATTCCCTTTTTGTTTTGCTGTTGTATTATTTGTCTCATTTCTGTAATATCTTTTTTGTATATTTTTTTTTCTGGCACCGCATTCCTTTTTTATTTATTAAACAGTGTTTTAAAATTGTTAAGCTTCATCTCTATGCTCTAAGAAGGTAAAAAATCCTTTAGTCTCGGAAGGGTGCTACCATATTATAAAACCTGTTATATTCCTGTCTGGGGGGGGGGGGGGG